TAATCGACGTGCCTCCATCATCGTGCTGATGATGGAGGCATCTGAAACGATAGATATAAAATGGACACGATAAAATTATGACGATATATCGAAAGTAAAAACGTTCCAATTATCGTAACAAAGAAAGTTAAACAAGAGAACGAGATTATTGAATGCATGTAAGTTTATATTTTAATAGATTTCAATATAAAGTAAAGAAGTGGTGTATTATGAAATTTGAGACTGTTCTTTTTAATATACAGTCTACACATAGGGTTAAAGTAAAGTAAAGTAAAGTTTGTCCCACTATACGCCATGTAGGCGCTTGGGGGGAGTGGAGGTATAGCTCCTCTCTTCCTTGACCTCGGCACTAGATGGGGGGGGTGAGTGGTCGGTATCACGCCCCGGCCGGCTTTACCCCCGGGAAAGGACCCCCGGTACCCATTGTAGAGGAGGCTGGGTGGGCCCCAGAGCCGGTCTTAACGCATAGGCTAGAGGAAAAATCCTCTGCCCCCGTCGGGGATCGAACCCCGGTCGTCCAGCCCGTATCTAGTCACTATACTGACTGAGCTATCCCGGCTCATCTACACATAGGGTATTACATAGTAACAAGAATGTAGGCTACTGTGTGATAGATTTGAGAATCTTGCAACAGCGAAAATTTTTATTTTCTTTCACGTTATGATGCTCAATAGCCTCGTAGATTCTTACAAATTGTTTCGACTGCCTCCATCTTGAAACTACAATTTAGAGGATATAAATTTAGCCAATTTGTTAATCACCTACAAAGTTACACGTCTTTATATCCCAGACTACAATACGTTGTACATAATCGAAAATTTCGGAAAACTTGTATATAAGTTATTACAATTACTGTACGTATTTAATGAATTTAAACTCTACACAAAATCGAAGAGGATGCTGAAGTTTTCTTGTTTCACATTTTCCTTTTATAAGGCATCTTGGATAATCCCGGTAACACATTATTTTTAATTTAGTAAATGATTAATGCATCAGGAAAACAGCAAACCTAAACGATTTAAGTTCGGTGAACCTGAAACATTTTATCGTGTTTTTCAGCTCTGGGTAGTGAATTCTGCTCTGGGTACATTGACACCATGGGCAAGTGGACCAATGGTTTCTACTGTCCCGGAGAATTGGCAGAAGAACAATTTTGTTGTGGCACTGCCAATTTTAAGTACTGCTGCGCCCAAAGGGAACAGGTCCTCACTCAGGATACCTCCAGGTAGGGACCATTTTATAAAATTCTGAAGTTACCAGATGACCAGATGTTTTCGTGCTAAAAATTTCTTTCTCACTGTGTAATATGTAAGTAATCAGGTACGGAACAAATACAGGGTTATTCATAATTCCCTGATACATTACAAAAAATCACTAGACCTGAATGATGCAATGGATCGTAACATATGACATTTCGATAGAAAGAGAAACTCTCCAAGTTTATTTTACATACCTCATAAATGCTCTGTGTGTCCGCCCTTTGTGACGCGGCAGCCGTTAAACCGATAATCCATTTTCGCCCACACCCGCTGCAGCATGTCACGATCGATTTGTGAGATGGAAGCGATGATACGTCTTCGTAGCTCAGGCAGATCCCGTGGCAGTGGCGGTGCAAAGACCTGGTCCTTAACCTACCCCCATAAGAAAAAAATCACACGGCGTCAGGTCAGGTGATCGGGGTGGCCAACGAAGCAGTGAATTGGTCTGAGGTATGTTAAATAAACTTGGAGAGTTTCTCCTTCTATCGGCATGTCCTATATTACCATCCATTGCACCATTCAAGTCTAGCGATATTTAGTAATATATCAGGGAATTATGAATAACCCTGTATAACAAGAGCATGGTGCCTTTACCCAATCTTAATGCATGGCCTATACTAACTAAGCTGAAAATATCGTGCATATCCTTAGACCCCCATCATTCAATAATGTTATTTTAAAAATTACAAAACTATTACTTTATTTTATTACAAAACAGACCAGAAAATAAACGATTTAAAATGGTAAGTGACTGACTGGTATATTTGCGAGGTAGGATATCAGGTTTAGGATGGAGTATTATAGCCCCCGGGTGTCATCAAACCTACCAAATCATGGCCGACTTCTGAAGGTCAAGTTGCTGTAACGCCGAAATTTAAATTTCGAACAGAAAGACACCGATTGGTCGGTAGTATTTCTTTCATTTCAAGCCATGTGATTGGATTTAATTAGTTTATTTGTCGCCTTTACTTCTTGCTACGATAAAATATAATTCCATCAACATTCGATCATCGATCTAGCCATGCAACAGTTTACTATTCCGACAGCGAAAGATAGAATTATTTATTTTTACGAGGAAATTCTAGGAATCTTTGGCCCATCGATGTGCGTCGTACGAAAAGAAAGTCCGAAATTCGTATGAAGAGATCTGAAGTGACCAACACGGACAAGACGGACAACGCAGATGATGCTGAAGTAACTAAGTATTTTGTACAGCAGATCTCTGATTTTGATTGGCTAATGACGGCACGTGACAGTAGATGCCCAGGAGGATTCAAAATATGGCCGTCGCCTTTCGCATCGAACACTATATTAGGAGCAGGGTCGTATAGGATGTTCTAATGTGGAATTGGCGGAGGAAAATCATGCATTCTTTCAACAGCATGATATGGAATTAGATGTCTGTGTCGTGGCGATCGGGGTAGGATTTTAAAGCTATGAGTTTACTTGTTTCTTTTTAAAATTTTAATAGTTTCACTTACTTTGCTAACATACCCTGCCCCTAGAATGTCTGTAATTATTATGAAGGTAGCGGAAGGCAAAATTCAGAAAAATAATTAGTTTGCATTATGTATGAAATATAAACAAATAGGCATTGTGGTATCCGAAAAATGCTCTGTGATTTATCACTTTTGCATTTTTAATACGAATCTGAAGGGGTTGGAATAAATCAAGCAGTCACTGGTATTTTACGTAAATTAGTGATAATTTATTAACGATATGTGATCAGTATATCAATGAACAAGGTTTTGGTAAAATGTAGTAAAATAATTTTATGGATCTACCCCTCCACCAAGAATTATGGTATGAACGGTGAAAAATTTCACGTTTCCTAACTAGTACCAAACTACGCTAAGGTGGCTTTGTCATTTGGCGATATGTTATGTTGAGGCAAAACAAATATTTTTGCTCTTGTAGTTTTAATTAAAATTTCCTTTTGTTACTTCCACTGTAGTAAACAAAGCATTTGCCTATAATTCCATACATCGTCTGATTACAATTTACTTTTTTGTTCATATCCAGACGACTGATTTGTTGATCAATTGATTTTGTTGTTGGTCGGCCGATTCTTTACATAAGAGCAATCAATCACATTTTAAAATTGAGAAATTTTCCATTTTCCGTTTTCCCTTATTGATAGGGATGGGAGAAATGCGTACTTACCACACTGTTATTTAACGTATAATCTAATTTCGTCATATTTATTAGAATTAACATAGCATTATATGAAGGAATATGAATACGATATTATATTAATGTAAGTTGTCTCGATTTAATGTACATGCAACTATATAAATCTGAAAGTTACTGATTTATAAGTGACGATCTTAATTTATTAACAGTTATATTCATAATATTACCAATGGAATTTAAGGTTCTCGGGGTGATGTAGATGTCGAAAATTGTCCTGAACCTGTAGGTATCAAATTTCGAAAATAAAAAAGACTGGCTTCATTTTCATTACAACAAACATAGGTGCACTGAGAAATTAATCGACAGAAAACGCATTGCTTAAAGCTATCTCTCATTTAACATAGCTGTACCACTGATTATCTTACATTGCCGAAATTATTGATAGAGGGGACAGGGAAATCCATTGACAGACATCGTCCACACCTCATCCGGTGCGCCTGATTTCCATGACTTCTCTCCTGACATGACAGATTAGGTTGTTCTACAACTTCGCTGGACTGTAACAGATTATACCAAACGCCAAAGCCCTTCAAATTATCGGAAAACCGATTATTCGTCTCCATCGTAAACCAATGCTATCCATATGACTTTTTGGCGAATGACGTGAAGCAGTTTTGTAGGTGGTTACAGTTCACTACCGCCACGGTGGTCTAGCGGTCAGAACGCTGGCCTTGTAATCCTGGGGTCTCGGGTTCGATTCCCGGTGGTGCCCGAAATTATAACTTCTGTTGGGCAAGGCCGTGGTCCAAGTATCACGGAGTTTTCCTCCGGGGGCTTCCCCGGTTTCTCCGTGGCATCCCATAATTTACTCCATTCACACACAGAAGAAGGCAATGGCAAACCACTTCTGGATCATCTGCCAAGAACGTATATGAACAGGTCCCAGTCGGAGAAAAGGATGGAAGGATCCTGTTCATATGGACCTGTCGTCAGACAGAACACTAAATAATAATAAGATGAGGTGGTCTAGCGGTTAGAACGCTGGCCTTGTAATCCTGGGGGTCTCGGGTTCGATTCCCGGCGGTGCCCGAAGTTATAACTTGTGTTGGGCAAGGCCGTGGTCTAGGCAACACGGAGTTTTCCTCCGGGGGCTTCCCCGGTTTCTCCGTGGCATCCCAACAATTACTCCATTCACACACAGAAGAAGGCAATGGCAAACCACTTCTGGATCACTTGCCTAGGAAACATATGAACAGGTCCCTATCAGAGGGATCTTGTTTATAATGTCACCAGGGGTCGGCTCCGACCCGATGGTACCAAAACAAAAAATACACTTTGTCTCAATTTTAATTATAATTATTTTAAGATTGCTGTCTTCTGGGTTGTTGCGCCGAAACGTCTGGTAGTTAACCGACGTTTCTGATGTGCTTGCTACCTCCATCATTATCGCCATAATGATTGAGGCTGAAAGTGCCTCTGAAACGTCGGTTTATTTATACTCGATATAGCTATGTTCATACTCGTCGAAATCAGAATCTCAGTCTCGCCAAATTGCAATTATTTGTTTGAAATAAATATTGTGATTTGGAAGAATTTACAAAATCCTACGTACTGTTTTGGAATCTAATCAGCCGTGATAGATGAACTTAAGGCTACTGCGATTAAAGTTGACAAACATTTTTAACTGGCCCTGAAAGCGATTGGTGGATTAGCGCTTTGAATTTGGCCACGACCTATCACGTATTCTCCAATTTATTATTTAAGAGGATCTAATAAAGTGTGATCTGGGCAATTGACAATGTCCCAGGTACCAGATAATAATCGCTACATTCAACTCAGAAAATTTCGAAATCATCAAGACCTAAAACTTCTTGACGATGGTGAAGAGTCAATTGAATAAAAATTTTCTTGGATATTATCCATCGTCTAGTAAATATAAAACGTAAAACGACGTTTCGGAGAT